AAAAAAAAAAAAAAAAAAAAAAATTGAAAACAAATGATTATTTCTGGTCGCAGATTTTCCTGTAAAATTCCATAAAAATCTCAAGTAAATAAATTTTAGAATGGCGTATAACATTTTAAATATACAGGTAAAACAAGAGAAATGCAATTAATAATATATATATATATATATATATATATATATATATATATATTATATTATATTATATATATATATATATATATATATATATATATATTATATATATATATATATATATATATATATATATATATATATATATATATATATATATAAATTGAGTTTACTGATTTTCACGCCTCATTAATAACATTACAGTTTATTCTTTGAATTTTAAATATTGAATATGGGCTGGTTGTTCTTAATAGATTCCAACTTGACCGGAGGCGAATAATACTCGTAGATTCGCTGAAAAATAACTTACTGAAATTCTGGCCGAGTGTTGTATAGCAAAACCGCGCTAGTCTCACAGCTGTCTTAAATAGACAATTTTTCAGGGTCAGTCTTACGGTAATGTGCAATCTTCGCATTTACACTAGATGGTACAATATCCAGAGAACAGTCGTTATGACAAAATATCTCTAATAAATTTTAGTGCTTGCTCTAGTTCATTTGAAAAAATAATAGAGACCCCCCCGCACTATGGTGTTTATGAAATTAAGTTTATACCACCAGCGAATATATAAATCAGAAAACATAGGTTTACTGGACAATCTATCTTGAAAATTTACAAACCTACCATTTGTCCGTGCTTTGAATGCAGTTGACATATTTGGTCTGGTGCTCATTTTGTACATCTCGAGATTCTTGACAAATACCAAAGAAGAATCTATAACCCAATCGATCCTGACCAAGCATCTCGACTTTAGTTACTTTCTCACCGGCGTGACGTGGCTTCCCTCTGTCTTTTCTACAAATATTTTCATGGCAACTGCTCTGGCGAGCTTTTTCCCTCCTGGTGCCCCCACTACATGAATTTAAGCGTGCTACTACATTGGCATATAGGTCCCAACCTTTTATTGTTGAAATAGTTAAATGCAATCGCTAGTTCTAGTCCAAAAATTTATTTTCTCGCACTTCCCACCTGTGGAACTCCCCCCCCCCATTTACTTGCTTCTCTGATAACTACAATCTTCAAAGATTTAAATCCAACATCACTCGACATCTGTTTTAAAACCCCGTTCATCTTTTGTCCTTTTCCCCAATCCTCCTTATTCTCAGTCACTTCCTGTAAACCCTTGCGTACTAGTGGCATTGGGGCGAAATGATAAAAAAAAAAAAAAAAACAAACAAAAAAAAAAAAAACACCGATGTAATAAACTTAGAATTAAATTTTTGACTCAAGGTATCCAGAAAGGATAGAGAACCTCCGCTTTTCAGATTAACAGTAAACTGAAGAGAAGGACGCAAGCTGGTCGATATTCCTCGAAACACTTCTGCTTCCGTATCATGACTGAACACACAGAACGTGTCATTTGCATACCGCACGTAGCAGTTTTGTTGACAGGCAATAGAAAAATAATTAAATATCCTTTTATATGTACAGGTGTACCGACAAAATAGGTTCTCAATGTTACGTAGATCTAATTCTGAGTTCGACCTTGAGACAATTTTCATCAGATCCGGCCAGCCATCCCTGTGTAAGTAGAAAGAATGGCTTCTCGGAGTTAATGTGATCTGCTTGTAAATCTTTAGTATATCAATAATAACGGTGTCTTATTTTTTAGTCGGTACTTACATTAACTATTTTATTCCTCAATCGAAGAATAAGCTGAGGAGTAACAACCAGTAAACTGCCAATGTTTTCATATTAACTATCAGTCTTTTTTTTCTTTTGTTTCAACTACATATTTTAAATATGTCTGTGATATAGGCCATTATTAAATTTGGTACGGCAAACAAAATTTTCAAGTAAATTTTAAATAAATTATTTATAGTTTATTGGATATAATTACTCCTCCAAATCAAACTCGGAACATTTTTCGCTTAGATTTACTGTCGGGATGACTTTCTTTAAAATCAACTTCTATGAACTATTCTGTTTATGGATGGCATGCATGGCGCTAAATCCGTTCAGAAATATCTAAACTGTCTGCCGTATAAAACCGCTTCCTTAGATCAAGTGTTAAAAGTGGCTTTGAACGAGTGAAGCCTGTGGGCCTTGGTGAAGATCTTTGTGGTCTAGCGCTACAGAATCACAAACAAGCAACTGTACCAGGTAACAGAAAGCTCATCACGTGAGGACTTTCAACAGCAGTAGCAAAACTAGAATGGATATCATATGCAACTCGAAGAGAAAAAAATGATATGATAAAGATGTTGATATTTCACACTACTTCAGATAAGGAAACTCCCATCGATACTCGGACGAACGTTAACAGCTACTGGACTTAATAAACTTATTTTCCTGAAAAATTATTTCAAGAGAAATCTGTCTATATAATACTAAAAGTCTGATTCGTACTTGCGTGGTGCGTAGTACGTCCGGCGCATAATAATGATTTAAGTTTCTACCTCTCTCTTACCACCTCTCTCTTTCCACCTTTCTCTGATTGCGTGTGTGCTTGCGTGGTGCATAATGATTCAAGTTAATTTGATACAAGTGAATAAGATTTAAAAATATGAGTTGTTAATACAATAGCTATTTTTATCTTAACTTTCTTCAAACAAAGGTTTTTTTTTCAATTAAAATATTTATAAGTTAAAGACAGACACAAAGAGACCCCGCTTTGCTGTTTAGTCCAGTTGTTTGTAGAGTAATTATTTATCTTTCAACTTTCTTTAAACAAATAATATTTTAATTATTTAAAAATATTTTTAAGTTAAGCTGATTTTAAAAATTATTTTAAGTGAATAACATTTAAAAATACGAGTTGTTACAGTAAGTATTTTTATTTCAACTTTTTTCAAACAGACAATTTTTTTAACTTTAATGTTTTATAACCAACAGGTCACAAGTAGACACGTATTTTATAAATTTCAACCAACAGTTGCACTGGCTGCTCAGTCAAGTAATGCCGAACGGATAATATCACCATTACAAGTTATTTCTTCTTCTATGTGCCGTGTTCCTTCGGGACGTGGGCGATCATGACTCCCTACAATTCCCTGTGCTTTGAAGGTCTTAGTAGATGTTAGTAAAGACAAAATTTACTAAGGAAACTTCTACATGGACATTTTTATAAGACTTTGTATTCAACTATTTAGGGAGTTAATTAAGTGCCATGCGTGATATATTCGGCGATCATGTTTCTTTCGATTCATGACTGATTAGACAGAAGAATTTCTCGCGGTAGTATGCCGTTTCTTTTGCGATAGACTGGTTGCCAATCAAGGACAACCTTGGTTGCCATCCAAAGCTATAGGATCCAGTGTCCTGTTGTTGAACCCATAGCCGGGGTTGAAAAGATGGATTCATAATTTTCACAAGAAAATTGGCACTTGAGTGATTAGAACGCACCTGACTTTGAACTCTGTTCTCAGATTTCTTATGCTGAGACGTTAGCCGTTGCACCACACCTCACATAACTATTACTACATCTAAAACCAAGCTAGTAACATTTTATCATCACCGATCAGACCGAGTTTTCTCCCATCGCAATGGTTGAACTCTCAACGAAACGATTACGCTTCAAGTTCCCTCCAGATCTCAAGTTGAACATATATATATATATATATATATATATACGATCCATAGCTAAAAACACTGGCGCCAAGTACCTTTCTAGAAAGTACCTGACTCCTGTTTTATCTTTACAAGAGTCAGATTAGACAAACAATAGAATATTGATGTCATGTCTGCCCAGTTCTCACTTTCCATCCGTGATAGTTTAAAAATCGTCTACATCGTGTTGAAGAGGAGACTTATTTCCCCACTCTACAACCACAGACGAACCGTTGTAATCCTATCGCTATTTCCATGACAAATGTTTACGCTCTCGTTCCACCAATTCAAACCTTTACAGATAGGACTCACCATACTACATCCACGGAGCCGAATCACCTACATTCCCCCCGTATTCCATTTTTCAGTAGGATGTTCGATTCAGACAGTTTTTTCCTAAGAAATGCTAATACGTGGAACAAACTATCGCATGGATGCTTCTCTGAGCACCATGATCTTAATCTATTCAAGGGTTAATCGCTATCGTCCATATCACACACCTGATTCCCTAACTCTCTTGAGCCTTGCATTGGGTAAACTTTAATGTACATAAAGAAAAGAATTACACTTCAACTTCAAATTTTCTTTAAAAAAAAAAATTGAAATCTGTGAGTGCGTACTATATACAGAAAATTGTTGAGTGCGTACTATATACAGAACATTTGTGAGTGCGTACTATATACAGAACATTTGTGAGTGCGTACTATATACAGAACATTTGTGAGTGCGTACTATATACAGAACATTTGTGAGTGCGTACTATATACAGAAATTCAATATTTTATAAGGAAGCAAATTGTCAATGCAAGATCAATATTTATTCAACGTTTAATGATTATAGATTTTTATATGTAAATGTTCAGTATTATTAATTGTTTCCACTTCATTTCCTATGTTCATTATTGCCTTTAAATATAATCTCGACATGCGAAATGTGTTTAAAGCCTCAATTACGCTCGAAATGTAATGAAATTCCTCTGTTTACTGAAACATGAGCATTTATTTATATTCTAGTTAGAAGAAAGAGAAAAGAGGGAAAAAAGTGATCAAAAGAGAAATATGAAGAGAAACGTAGTGAAGAAAAGAACTGAAAATAAACTAAAGCCGAAAGAGAAGAGAAGAGGGAGAAAACGAGGAAAGACGTGTGTTTCGTTGAGCCTGTTAAAGAGTTTGTACCTCACTGGGGGATCGGTGAATCTTGACAGAAGTTAACGTGAATTATTGTTTAATAAATGTTGAAGATATAAGAAGGAAATGAGAGAGAGAGAGAGAGAGAGAGAGAGAGAGAGAGAGGGAGAGAGGGGAGCAAAGAAAGTTAAAATAAATAATTTATAGAAAGGTAAAGAGGAAAGTTATTGTAAACAAAAAAAATATAGCAATAGAAAGCCCGAAAAAGAAAAAAGGCCGAGGAGGAGGACGAACAGAGAGAAAGGCCGAGGAGGAGGACGAACAGAGAGAAAGGCCGAGGAGGAGGACGAACAGAGAGAAAGGCCGAGGAGGAGGACGAACAGAGAAAAGGCCGAGGAGGAGGACGAACAGAGAGAAAGGCGAGGAGGAGGACGAACAGAGAGAAAGGCCGAGGAGGAGGACGAAGAGAGAGAAAGGCGAGAGGAGGAGGACGAACAGAGAGAAAGGCCGAGGAGGAGGGACGAGGAGGAGGACGAACAGAGAGAAAGGCTGAGGAGGAGGACGAACAGAGAGAAAGGCTGAGGAGGAGGACGAACAGAGAGAAAGGCTGAGGAGGAGGAGGAGGAACAGAGAGAAAGGCTGAGGAGGAGGACGAACAGAGAGAAAGGCTGAGGAGGAGGACGAACAGAGAGAAAGGCTGAGGAGGAGGACGAACAGAGAGAAAGGCTGAGGAGGAGGACGAACAGAGAGAAAGGCTGAGGAGGAGGACGAACAGAGAGAAAGGAGGAGGAGGAGGACGAACAGAGAGAAAGGCTGAGGAGGAGGACGAACAGAGAGAAAGGCTGAGGAGGAGGACGAACAGAGAGAAAGGCTGAGGAGGAGGACGAACAGAGAGAAAGGCTGAGGAGGAGGACGAACAGAGAGAAAGGCTGAGGAGGAGGACGAACAGAGAGAAAGGCTGAGGAGGAGGACGAACAGAGAGAAAGAGAGGAGGAGGAGGAACAGAGAGAAAGGCTGAGGAGGAGGACGAACAGAGAGAAAGGCTGAGGAGGAGGACGAACTGGAGGAGAGAGAGAGGAGGGAGGAGGAGGAACAGAGAGAAAGGGAGGAGGAGGACGAACAGAGAGAAAGGCTGAGGAGGAGGACGAACAGAGAGAAAGGCTGAGGAGGAGGACGAACAGAGAGAAAGGCTGAGGAGGAGGACGAACAGAGAGAAAGGCCGAGGAGGAGGACGAACAGAGAGAAAGGCTGAGGAGGAGGACGAACAGAGAGAGAAAGGCTGAGGAGGAGGACGAACAGAGAGAAAGGCTGAGGAGGAGGACGAACAGAGAGAAAGGCTGGGAGGAGGAGGACGAACAGAGAGAAAGGCTGAGGAGGAGGGAACAGAGAGAAACGAGGAGGAGGACGAACAGAGAGAAAGGCTGGGAGGAGGAGGACGAACAGAGAGAAAGGCTGAGGAGGAGGACGAACAGAGAGAAAGGCTGAGGAGGAGGACGAACAGAGAGAAAGGAGGAGGAGGGACGAACAGAGAGAAAGGAGGAGGAGGAGGACGAACAGAGAGAAAGGCTGAGGAGGAGGACGAACAGAGAGAAAGGCTGAGGAGGAGGACGAACAGAGAGAAAGGCTGAGGAGGAGGACGAACAGAGAGAAAGGCTGAGGAGGAGGACGAACAGAGAGAAAGGCCGAGGAGGAGGACGAACAGAGAGAAAGGCCGAGGAGGAGGACGAACAGAGAGAAAGGCCGAGGAGGAGGACGAACAGAGAGAAAGGCCGAGGAGGAGGACGAACAGAGAGAAAGGCCGAGGAGGAGGACGAACAGAGAGAAAGGCCGAGGAGGAGGACGAACAGAGAGAAAGGCCAGAGAGAAAGGCCGAGGAGGAGGACGAACAGAGAGAAAGGCCGAGGAGGAGGACGAACAGAGAGAAAGGCCGAGGAGGAGGACGAACAGAGAAATAAAAAAGCGAGAAACAAACGAGAAAAAGAAAACAACTAAGGAATGAAAGCAAAGAGAACAGCTTCATAGTGCATATCATTGTCTTCTCTAGGTTGCCTCGCCCACCAACTAATCGTAGCTTTGACTCTCGATTTGAACTAGTCATAATTTGCAAGTTGTATTTGAGCTTAGAACATCCTTAATAGAAACTAACGTTTCTAGTTTGACACGTACACCTTGTTACGCACGCACGCACACTGTGTCATGTACACGCACATCCATTTATGGAAAGGACCGAGAGAGCATTCGCGAGCAATTTACTTCATTCACTGAAATTTCCTACGCCATAAATAGAGCAATTATATCACTAAATTAATTTACCATTTAATCTTATTTATATGTGTGTGCGTGCCTGTGCATTTCCCTTGATTTTTCACTCTTTGTATTCTATTTAAAGCGTTTGTCTTTCAATATGAAAGCACACCTCGATTCATAAGACTGTGTCTCCCTTAAGATCCGCGAAGTTAGCAGTGTGTATTGAAAAGTTCTCGGTCTACAAAGAAGCCGTTCTCAAATGAAATCTATGAAATTTAATGTTTGTTCATGGCCACAACTTTTCTGAACTCCACGTGTTATATATAGAATAAATAAAAAAAAAGTAAAGTACAGCACTTTTACCTAAAAATTGCTTTTACTTTTTGATTTACCCTCGTGTGCCTCTCTCTCTAAATTTATATATATATATATATATATATATATATATATATATGTGTGTGTGTCTCCCGCCAAATTCACATAATTTAAAATGTGAATATCTGGATAACTACATGTCCCAGGCAAACGAAATTAAATAGACTCCGATTGAACAATAAAAGACTTGTCAAAATTCGAACAAGATATGTAGGAGTTTAGATTTTATAACCGATTTCACAAAGCTTTACAAATATTCAATATGCATACAACCTGTGATACTACATTTGTGAAGTCAGTAGTCTAGCTCCTGTCAAACACGCTGTAGCATGTCTTGCGTAACATTTTCTAGCGCCTCAGTGATTCTCTGCTTAAGTTCCTTTAGGCTTTAAGGAAGAGTGGGGTATAGACCTGTATTTTCACATAGCCCCATAGAAAAAAAAAATCCTAAGGTGTCAAGTCAGGTGAACGTGATGGCCATTGCAACAGCACATTTTCATTATCACTGGCACACTCGATCCATCTCCCAAGTAGATTCACATTGAGATAAGTTCTCACACTCAACTTTTTTTTTTTTGAAAATTTTGTTAAAATTTGAGATCATTTAAGCAAGAATTGCCTATGTTATTAGACTACAAAATAATGTCAATTTCTTGAGACACTATATGCGTGTGTGCACGCGCATATATATATATATATATATATATATATATATATATATATATATACACACACACACACACACATATCAACTCTTTTTCTGATTATGTGTATTAGTGTCATTTTCGTTCTCATCTTCATTACAACATCTTTAACATCCTTATTGCTTGCGTGTTCTCTGCATTGTATTCTTAGCATCCTTCTGTAGCGTTCACTGCCATAATGGAAGGAAAGACAACATTTCAGCACTTCTTTATTTCTAACTATATTTCCTTATTCCTTAATATTCAGCCCCTGGAAGACATCCTTCGCTATCACAATACACCTTCGCATATATTTCTTTCATTCACTAATTAATAAACTGAAAAAAAATTACATGAAACTTATACAGGTAGATACTTTCGGAGCTTAACTTCGCCTGTTACAAGACTAAATTGGATTGATGGAGGAATATGAACACTGAGTGGCATAAACTCTTCGACAAGTGACTGTGTACTCTGAAATCTACAGTAAAAATGAATGAATTTTAATTGGGAACAAACACCAACGATTGCTTTCAGTGGAAAATACATAACTATCTGACCACATTGCCATTTCATAAACTATATATACGCGAATATTCACCCAAGGGCCAATCTCTGTGGTGATGTCTGAGCGTATGAAGAGGCAAGAAGCCTAGACTTGAAAAGCTTGTGATTGTAGTTATTGGGAAAACATCCGACCGGGAGTCTACAAATCAGCATTTTTTGGGAAGTTGTTTGAGTGGAAATTATTTCTTACTAATGGAATACAAAGGGGATGAGGATTATTCACCATTGTATATGTGGTACGGCGATTGCAGTGGGAAAGGTCGGGGCTGGCGGAGCCAAGGAATGTAGCTCATCAGAATAAATTCCAGGAAAATAGCGATATAGTTGCGAAAGTCTTGCGAGGTTGTGTCTGCGAGAGATAGATTGGAGCGTAGAAAATAATTAATCACCCACAACAACGCGTAAACGCTTTTCAACTGTATCAAGACAGGTAAATGAAGAATGGGTAGCTCCAGCCCAAATATGGCAGCATTTCTCCATTTTGAGGTTGATCTGGTTCTTGTAAAGATACAGTTTCTTATGTATGAGGAAGGAAGAGGTGGCAGAGAGAGTGGGAGGAGAGGAAGAGAGAGTGGCAGAGAGAGGTGGGAGGAGAGGAAGAGAGAGGTGGCAGAGAGAGGTGGGAGGAGAGGAAGAGAGAGGTGGGAGGAGAGGAAGAGAGAGGTGAAGAGAGAGGTGGGAGAGGTGGGAGGGGAAGAGAGAGGAGGAAAGAGGTGGGCAGAGAGAGTGGGGAGGAGAGGAAGAGAGAGGTGGTATGGAGAGTGGGAGGAGAGGAAAGAGAGAGGTGGCATGAGAGTGGGAGGAGAGGAAGAGAGGTGGCATGGAGAGTGGGAGGAGAGGAAGAGAGAGGTGGCATGGAGAGTGGGAGGAGAGGAAGAGAGAGGTGGCATGGAGAGTGGGAGGAGAGGAATGAGATGGAGGGGAGGGGAGAGGAGAGGGGCATGGAGATAGAGTGGGAGGAGAGGAGGAAGGAGGGGTGGGAGAGGGAGAGAGTGGGGGTATGTATGTGCTCAGAAAATAATTATGATTTACTAGAAACGGTATGAAAAGAAATTGAATCACATTCATTTTAAAGGAGTGCAGCGGAACAGAATGACCAACTTTCGATTCCATGTTTTAAAAAAAATGTTTGGAACGCTGTTTTCAACTGTTTTGTTTGTAAATGTCTAGCTACTGGAGAAATGTTCTTGTGATCGAAACAAATGAAAATCTGTACGTGCTAAATTTGGTGAGTTTAGAGGTTGTGGAAGAACTTCCCACCGTAACGATCTTAATTTTTCTCGGGTTTGTTTTATAAAGTGTGCCCTTGAATTCTCAATGCTTTACAACACATTTTTTGTTGACCAAAGCAGGCACCTTACGATGTAATGCATCGTTTGCCCGATCAATTAGCTATCAATAAACGTTTTGCCGGATAAACGTTAGTCACTTAATAATTCAATAACACAATTATGACCCAATAATTAGGAATCTCTCATATCGGTAACGTATCATTGATTGTTAGAAACTTCTATTTATTTTATCGTAAAGCACAACGTGACCTTCAGTTGGCTGCCGAATTAATCTAGAAATCGTGTGACATTTAAACGCTTGCACGTATTTTTTTGCGGATTAAAATGTCGGGAGATTGATAGCGTAAAATATATTGTTGGATATCATAAAAAAATAAATTAAATTTTTTTAAATCGTTGATTCAAACATATCGAGTTTCCTAGCTGTTGTCAATTCAATTCCTATTCGTGGTAGCGCTGAAATGTCACATACTCTGATTCAGTGGATGAAACAAACATGCTACACAAAGACTAGTGAATATGGCGATTTTTCAAAGCGTTGTTTAGATGTGGCCGAAAGTGTGGAGCACCCAGTAAAGATCAAAATCACTCCTCAGTCGTAATTGTTTTCACAGCGAGACCAGCTTGCTAACCGTTAACACGATGTCGTGGTGCCCATGAGACTAGTGAATAAGATATGAACTATTTCCTAAATCCAGAAATTAGAAGAACAATATCTCTATAAACAGTTTCCTACAGACGAAACGTTGCAAGATTCTCCCGATTCTATTGCTTATTTCCCTGGCAAATGATATGACAGTCTACATTCATCACTTTCGTTAGTTCAGACCATAACAGCTTGGGTTGAATCAACCCAACCACTTCGTATTCAATTAATAAGATCCATTCAGATAGCTTCTTCCCAAGAATCCCTAGTGGATGCTTCCCAATTGCTACAATATTCAAATCTAGAGTCAACCCTTATCTTTCCTACATACCATTATAATCTGCACTTATCTCCTCTTATGTTCATACGACAACCGCATTCAGTAACAGTTTCCCTTGAGTGAAGAATTTGTAAAAAAAAATACTTCCATGGACTGAATAAAGGGTACAGTCTGAAATTCCAATTTTGCCGACTACAAGCATACTGGTTTGAATACAAAACTTACAATTTATGGAAAATATAAGCCGAAAAAGTGAATCCTGGGTATGACGATAGGCTACATCTGCATCCTGAATATGAAGATAGCCAAAGAATTTAATCTGTCTCGAGTCATGGAGTACAGAAAAGTATATTTTTATAAATTTTAGTTTACTAAAGCTTCTCTCTCCGGTGGCCACAATTAAAGTAGATTAGTTTACCTGAGTACTTTTCACTCATCTCTTTTCCGTCAAATATCGTGGTATGTCCCGTGGCTCTTCAGAACGTTAGCGATCACATCTCTTCACATTTTCCTTTCCTTTGTAGCTCTTAAAAATGCTGTCTTTTTGTTATCTCTCCTAAACCTTGATCCACCATACATTTACTCAAGATACTTAGGTAGGTTATACATTATTTTCCTCTGTCCCTCTTGCCTTCAATATGTCCCATGAGTGTCAAATTTTCCAAGCCCCCATTCCTCATGCCCTAAAATTAAAACCGTATCTGGCTGATTAAGTATCCTTTTCGTCGGTATTTTCTCTCAGACTTCATCGTTGCTCACATGTTTGGTCCATGGTATTCTCAGTATCCTCCTGTAGAAACATTTCTGTTGCCCGCATCTACGAACATCAGAGACCTACGCTGGGAAAAACCCTTTAAACTGGCTCGTAACATACAAAAACAAAATAAGCCATAACTTCGATTTTATAAATGACACTAATTAGATAATAGC